TAGTTTGCCAAATTCCTCTTAGTTTCTGTCCTACATTTTAAAATCTCATGTGACTTGAACATCAGGATAATGTTGGAAGAGCAGTACTTAAGTATATTTACTAACAGAAAAAACGTGGATTGGCCTATTGTTTTTGCTCCCTTTGGGGAAGTCTTAGAACATTGTGACACAGAGATCGGATCTGCCCTGGTGTATTTTTACAAGTACAGTGTATCTAATGTTAGAAATTAGGAGGGTATGGTGGCCAGTGATGTAAACACTTAAGTAGTCTGCCATCACAAAGTTCAAATCCAGAGGGAACCAGATCTCATTTACTTGCATCATGGCACAAGCTAAATGGAATAATTTTCATGTCAGCAATGGCAATTATCTTGGGATCAGCAATGTAAGTTTTGTTTTTTGAAACTTATATAGCATGTTGTGCATAAACCCATTCTGTCTCACCAATCTGGAAATTATATACTACAATCTCCAGTACAAACACAGTAGTGCAGTGTTTAACATTTATTTCAGCTTGAAATATAAGAACATTGTTTCTTTGGCTGTCAAGCAAATTTGAAAATTTGCATCAGTTTGAAACTTTTAAGTTGGGACAAAGTGATTTTGGTATGGTTTTGGATTTCCATGAATTCTCTATTTGAGGAACTTATATAATCCTTTTAAAAATACTGTACTGTTTAATTTGATAATTGAACTTGAATCACCATAAAAAAGTGCTATGAGAGTAAAGAAAAGTTGGCACAGTTATTCTTTCTAAAATTAAACACAATAAGGACAAAATAAGCATTCTCAATGTAAATCTTCATCCCTAAATGAATTTTTATCATTAGATTTCCAGACCCCTGGACTTTTATTTGTGTTTTGTTTTTAATTATCTAACCAAAGAGGAAAATAAGAGACTTGTGAAAATTTAGGTAAGTTGTAGGAATTAGAAAGAAACACTTTAGTTTCTGATTTCTCTGCTTCTGGAAGAAGGTAAATAAGTTGAGGGTAGAAATCACCTTTCTGTTGCAAAATAAACAGCTAATGAATGTTGGATTCTTCAGAGAAAAATGGTTTGTGTAAGAACTTCTTAGTATGAGAGCGTTTTTTTTTTTTTAGTTAGCTGAAATTAAAGGAAAGTAGCAAGAATTATTCTTGAAGAAGATGTCAGTTATCTAATATAGTAAGGTGATGTAATCTTTGGTCCTGTGTTTCCTATTGCACAAGTTGTATGATGTTTGAATAAAATTCCCTATGGGACAAAGACACATTAGTGAATACTTGTTTGATGACTGTTATTTTCTGTAATTTACATTGGACAATATCTAAGGATATGTATGTGAGAGCATTCCTCTCTGCTTCAATTCTTCAAATTCTCTCCCTGGTTGGTTTATCCAGTAAGTATTTCTTATATACTTAATATATGCCAGACACTGTGCTAATAAGCACTGTGGATACAAAGAGCTGTTGGAATAGTCGTAAGTGATAAAACACAGTGAATAAATGCTATAGTAGACTTAGAAATAGCTCAAATAGGGGCCAGAGGAGAAACTGAGAGACTAATAGAATGTTCTTAGAGTAGTTTGTGCAAGATGAGGCCCTGAAAAGAAGACATTAGAAAGGAAAGGATGAATTAAAGAGAGATCATTGTGAAGTAGAAACAACAGAACTTGGTGACTAGTGGGATGTAAGGGAATAAGGAAAAAGGAGTCTTAAGTATATGCCCAGGTTTTCAGCTTGGGAAACTGGGTTGATCCCTATTTGTGCCCTTCATTACTGCCTCTTAGCTGTACCGTTTACTTTGGTAATTCATTATATACACTGTTATCTGTTAGGAACTAGTACAAGAGTACTAGCTCTTTAAAGTTTATTTTCTTTATGCACCCCCATAGAACTTGCACAATGCTGGACACAGAGTTAAGCAGTCAGCATGATGTTGAGTTTATTTAAATTGAATTAATAATAAAACAATAAAAGAACTATAGTAAAGGGGAATTATAGAATTACCAAATACATATACATGGAAGCTTTTCCTGATTTCCCTCAGTTTCATCTGATCCCTTTCCCACTTCACTTGTCATGGTTGTTTATGTCACTGATTTATTTCTCCTACACTCCTTGAGCACAGGGTTGTATATTTCTCTCACTCCCATAACCAGAGCTCAGCATAGCTCTTTGCAATAATGACAGACCTTTTAAAGCATTTTTAAGTAGGTCCCAAACACTGTGCTAAGGGCTTTACATGAATTATCTAGTTTATCTCACAGAAACTTTATGTTGTGCAGTACTCTTAATCTCCATTGATGAGTATAATCTGTGGATTAGAAAACTAAGGCTTAGATGAGTTAAATGACTTCCCCTAAATCATAAAATTTACAAGTGTCAGAACCAGGGTCTCTTGATCTCAGAATCTATAATCATCATTACCTGTTTTCCCTCCTGTAAGGAGACTGCAACAGAAGGTATCTGTTATATGTTGGTTGAATTAGATTAAGTTGTCATGAAAAGTGTCTGAAGTTAAGCTAGCTTCTCGGCAGTATTTATTGATAGGGAAGTTTTGAATATATCTGGAGAAGGAATATTCTGAATATTCTCTAGCATACTGAGGACTATGACTACTTGTTCATAAACATTTTCTGTCCTTTGACCTTTCCAAATATAGAAAATTCATTAACCACAGGGCCACTGGTGGCATTGCAGGCAAGAAGGGAATAGTAGTTGAAGTGCCAGGGAATAAGGACCTATAGGAGATATGCAAATTGAAGAAAGAGATGGTTGAAGCAGTCTGTGTTTAGTGTTGGTCCTTTTAAATTCACAGAAATGTTTTCTAATTAGGCGTGCCCATCTAGTTTTATTTTGGGAATGAGGGAATGTTGGGATTATGTTAGGCTTTTTAAAGAACAGATTTTTACAAGTGCTCCTTAGTTTTGACAGTGTGACTTTTCTCAGGAAGCCAACCCATTGAGAGAATTAGAATTTTTTTCTGTCAAATTATAAACCCATTGTCTTTAAATTTCCTTTTTAAAACGTGCTTCTGCCTTGTTTTCTTTTTCATTAACCAACCGTGATTCTTGATTTAGTCCTACATGTGAAAGATGGGGAAATAGCACAGGCAAACTCTTTGGGTAAAAGTTCAGTTCTAACACTTGAGAAAAAAATGAGAAGGAGAGTAACAATGTCTTGGAATCCCATAAATTTGTCTTTTTCCAAAAGTAATTGATAAATGTTGGGAAAATTCTTATTCTCTAAGAGTTTCTGTTTCAAATTCAAACCTTTGTTTACATGTATTTTAAAGGCTCTGACCCTTGAGTTTCAGGGATTTTTTTTTAAAGTCAAATGAATTCTTTTTTAAAGTCAAATTCATTTTTTTCAAAGTCAAATGAATTCTTTTTTAAAGTCAAATTTATTTTTTTTTAAAGTCAAATGAATTCTTCTTTATCCAAAAACTCAACAGGCTATGAAAATTAAATAGATGGCTTTACTTCCTTAGTTCTGCATTATAAGAATAAATCTTGAGTCTGAATTCTTATTTAGATGGAAGCATGTAAGATTCAAGGTTTTTGTTTTGAACTGTAAGAAGAGTTCTTTCAGTATTTATATTTTATTTTTTCAAGTGTAACGAGTAAAGAGATGGATTCAATGGCATGCCAGTTGTATTACCATATCCTAATATTGCTTTCCCAGGTTTAAATCCTAACAGTTTAAGTTCACTGTTTTGAGACAGTTTTTTCATGTTTTTATAAGATTAAAGGAACTAGGAATGCTTGACCTAGAAAAGTGACAAATTAGGAGGAAAGTGGGAGTTCTTTTCAAACAACTGAAGCATTGTCTTGTTGAAAAAGGGATTTGGCTTCTTTTGTGTAGTCCCACTGGATTCAACCTATGTGTACAATTTATAGGAAGAGAGATTTCAGTTCAGTTTAAGGAATAACTATCATGCTAGTCATCTGCTCAGAGAGAGTCAGCTGCCTGAAGGGAGTGCAGTTTTAAAGTATGGGTTTGATGAAAATCTTTTGGGTATGAATGGTGGGTTCTGTTGCCAGATGGAGAATTGTTTGAGGTGGGCTGTGAGGACCCATCACATTCTGAATTACTTCCCAGTAAATAAGGGTGAAAGGAAGAAACCAGACAGCCAATATAGGATGAGGAAGGAGAGCTACAGCTGAGAAAGAGGACAGTGAGGGTCTAAATTGTCTCTCCCATCCATGAGAGTTCTACATCTTTGATGTTTTCTCTGCCAGAAACATTTAAGAAAATGTTGGCTCTTGTTCCATAAGAGGTCGTTCTGCAGAACTTTAGGAATTTTTGGCATGGTCACAGAGACGGAACAATTCTCTCTCTCTAATAGGCCTTTGGCTGGAGTCATCGAGTAATGCTAAGTCAGAAATGTCCAGGGTTATGAGCTTTAGGTAGGAGCAACAACTTGTGTCCATTGATTTGGTTTTGTTTCTAGTAAATTTAAAAATTTTCTGTGTTGTTACAATGAACTGAACTTCAACAGTAGGATTTAGGCAAAGACTATTCTTTTGTTCTGCATGTTTGGATTTATTTCCTCCATTTCCATTTTCGTCTTCGCTAGAGGAAGATGTTCCATGAACATTCTCAGCACTGGAATTTGATATAAGAAGATAGCTGAAATTGACATGTCCTTCTTAAGGAAGATCCCTGGTTTCTGGGGAGGGGTATGATTAAGTGGGTAAGAGTATGAATTTTTGCTCTCAGCTGATTCTCAGCTCCACCATTCACCACCTTAGAATTATTCCAGGTCCTCTTACTGACTTTGTAGATAAACATAGATATTGATAAAACTACATAATACATTAAAAAAATGTAATCCTGTGCTTTTGTCAGTGACTTATGAGTTAAACTACTTGCGGATTTCTCAGTTCAAGGCTGAAGGAAGTTTTGAGGTAGTCTGTTGCTTGGGGGAGACAGAGTTTAATTTCCTTGTTTCTCTTCAGAATTTTAATTACAGTTCTCACTTGAAATATTTTGTTTGTTTTTTAGACTGTTCCATTATGGATGGAGGGGATGACGGTAACCTTGTTATCAAAAAGAGGTTTGTATCTGAGGCAGAGCTAGATGAACGGCGCAAAAGGAGACAAGAAGAATGGGAAAAAGTTCGAAAACCTGAAGATCCAGAAGGTATATAGGCTCACAGATCTTTAATCCTCACAACCCTGCAGGCTATTAACATCACTTTAGAGTAGAAGAACTGAGGCTGAGGGGGTGAAGGGACCTAGGTGAGGTCTCCGTAGCTGGGAGCAGACCAGGATCTGCGCCTCCACGCCCTTTCCGCTCTACCGCGCACTATTCCAGAGGATTCCACTGGTCTTCTAGCCAGTCAGGTGGATCCACGGTCTGAATAGCTGAGAGTGCTGCTATCATGCAGGGCTTGTTTTGGGTGGATCTCTCACCCAGTTAGCTGTCTCAGTCCATGGGCCCTGTTCACACTCACAGTTGGCTTTGGGAACTGCTGGCTCCTGTCTGAGGTCTAGAGGGAAGCTGTGAACTTTGTACTATTTTTGTGTTATCTTTGCCTTCAGATCTTGCAGAGACTTGACTTTATCTTTAAATCCTTCGTGATTCCAAAATAATATGAATGGATTGTAAAGTATGTATTTTCCCCCCCTCCCTTTTCTTTCAGAATGCCCAGAGGAGGTTTATGACCCTCGGTCTCTGTATGAAAGGCTACAGGAACAGAAAGACAGGAAGCAGCAGGAGTATGAAGAACAGTTCAAATTCAGTAAGCTTCAGAAAAAACAGCATCTGAGGGACTCTCCAGGGCCTTTTTGGTGCACTTTTGCCTTGTGCAACACTTTTTCTAACCAGCCATGAAATTGTCTTGATTATCTAGTCTCTAGGTGCTCATTTGGTAGAAAAGAGACAGCTTTCTACCATCTAGACCACATTGAGCATTTTTGCTTAGAACTCAGTATACCCATTTTAATTCTATGCTAACATCTAGTAATAGGAGAGCTGCTTTGATTTTATGCCATGTTATCTATCCAAAAGCTTTGGTGTTTACAAGTTCTTTCTTCTAATCCCCTGAACAATCTGCTGTTTATTAAAAAACAGGACAAGGAAAAATCTTGACTATATTTTCCCTTTAGCCTGCTTTAAGTGTTCCTTGTTTAATTATTTCCTCAGAAAACATGGTAAGAGGCTTAGACGAAGATGAGACCAACTTCCTTGATGAGGTTTCTCGGCAGCAAGAACTAATAGAAAAACAGCGAAGAGAAGAAGAACTGAAAGAACTGAAGGAATACAGAATATCCTTTGTACTTTGCTAGGAATCTATAAGGTGTCAGTTTCTCATCAACATCTATGCATTTCAGTTTTTTCATTATAGAATGAGGGTCTTCTGCCTAGTCATCTTTAAGTTCCCTTTCAACTCTGATGTTCCTGTGATGCTGAATAACTGGCAGCAATATGTAGAGTTATGTTGCGTGCAAGAGTCTGTTGCAATCAAAAGTCCAGATCCTTTAGGATTAACTGAAGGCCTAAATCCTAATGGTCAGTACCACAGTATTCTTGCCTTGTGAGATTAGACTCTGAAACAGATGGGCGATGCAATAAACCTCATCCAGGGGAGAAACTGGCTTCTGGGTTTTTTAAAGGAAATTTTTAGCAACCCTCCTGTGTCCTCAGACCTTCCCTACAGATAAAGCCTGGTCTGTCTCCATAGAGGGGTAGGGAAAGCAGCCAAGAGGACCTTGCTTTGGCTCACTGTTATCTTTCTGGCATCCACTTGCATGTCTTACTAGGCATCCCAAATGTAACTTGGCTGAATCAAAATTCTCAGTTCTATATGCCTCACTACTCCTACTTTCACTATACTACCTTCCTCCAAATCTCTTCTTTTTCTGGTATCTGCCAGACTACCTCCAAAATGTATTCCAAATCTTCCAGCTCTTACTGCCACTGCAGTAGTCGTAGACCTTCTCTGGACTATGTGACCATCTAATTGTCTCTGCTGCTGCTGTTCTCCCTCCCAGTGCATTTCTCTAGACGATAGTCTGGGGAACTTTTGAAAACATACGTGGGATCATATAACTTTCCTGTTTCAAACACTAGTGGCTTCCTGTTGCATTTAGACTTAAAATCTGCATTCTTAACCAGGTCCCACAAGGTTCTGCATGATTTAGACCAACTCACCTCCCTGTTTTATCCTGAACTACTCTTCTTCACGTTTACTACACTCCAGCTTACTGCCCTTCTTTATGTTCTTCTCATACTGAGCTCTGTGATTCCATTTCAAGGCATTTGCATTTGCTGTTTCCTCAGCCTGGAATGCTCTGCCCTCAGATTTTACAGGGCTGGCATTTCATGACACTTGGGTCTCAGCTCCCTTCCTCATAAAGATCTTCCCTAAGCACTCCATCTAAAGTTGCAGCCACCTGCATCACTGATTAGAATGTCATTTTTATAAATAGTCTGTCACTACCTGAAAATCTTAAATTATATACTTACAGGTTTGTTTGCCTCTCTACTGCTGGAATATAAAGTAAGCACTGTAAGAACACAGACTTGATTACCACTGCTTTCTCCAGTGCTTGGTGTAAAGTAGGTTCTCAGTGTATGTGTGAAGAGATTAACGAATGACTCATAGCAGAGGTTAAAAAGGCCACCTTAGCGTCTTCCTCCTGTGAGAAAGCTTATTTGAGTATTTCAAGCTTATATGTTGAATAACCTCAGTAGTGTGATTTAACAGGCTTTTTTACCTCTAAGATTGGTGCTATGACTGTGTGTATGCACTAGTTGGTATTGTTTTTTGCAGAGTGTGTGCAGTAGGTCCCATTAAAGAGTTATGTAGGAGAAAATGTGAACAGATTCCCAGGAATTTGGTTAAAGACAAGGTGACTGACGGTGATTGAGATAAGGTAGCAACATGCTGCCACAAAACATGCTCTAAACAGGTAGTGAGAGACGTGGCTTCCAGTCTCTGTTTTCCAGGTGGAATTCTGGTATAACACTAAGATAGAAATTGATAGAAAAATCACACCTCCATCCCAACTGTAGGATTGAGGTTGATTCTTCTGAAGCTTCCCTCCCCAACTCTTATTGCGTCATGACCCCAGGATGGTATTATGCATTGATGTTTGCAGAGATGGGCAGGTATATGTACTGCATATACTCCATTGTTTCAGGCATCCAGCTTTTTCCTCTAAGGAAAAAAATACATTACATTTTCACTTGAATTACATCTTGTTTTATGTGCTTAATTTGGCAGGAAAGCAAATAAGACAGTGTCTCCCAAGGCAACATTCTGGAGAGTATTGTTGGTGTGGTATGAGTATGAGAGGCCCTTGGGTTTTCAGTTCAAAGGGAAGGATGAACAGGGCAGCCATGAGGCAAAAGAAACTTTTCTGTCCTGATAACATTACAGTACAACATTGAAGAGGCTCCAGGGTTATTGGCTTTTATTGGAGACTTGGAAAGTTCTGTCTAGAAAAACTGAAACAAAGCAAGTCTTCCAGCCCACTGATGTATAATGTGCCAATCCCAAGCATGCATGTAGCCAGAGACATGTTGAGGTAGGAATTGGGGTTCAGACATCTGTTTATTAAAGCTCTAAATCAGAAGATGGTTCTTGGTTTTGCTTGGTTGGTATAAGATATATTTTATAATGTGATACTTGGGAATACAAGTAAGCTGCAGTTTGTGCCAGTATAAACAGAACTTTTGTTTTCTTTAGGTTAGAATAGTATTTATTAATATGTGTGTTCAAATACGATGTGACCTTTTAAAAACTGCTTCATGTAGTCTATTCCTTGAGACTTTTGAAATGTATTTGTATATTTAAAACATTTTAGGGGGAGAGAGGGTCTTAAGGGGGAAAAAGGACTGCGGCTTTGGATGTGGATCAAAAATATTATTACCATCTCCCTCCCTACCCACCAAAAAAGAAGTTGAGAGCTTTTCTTCACTTAAGAAGAATAAAAAGTTAAATGTTGGTTTTTGTGTTTGTCTTGGTATTATAAATGTGTGATTTTGTTAAATTTTTTCTGTTGTACTTGAAAGTTTCTATCCTTGATGGTGGAGTTGTAGGTAAAAATCACAGCATGCTCATGGTTTTTGGTATTCTGTACTAGAAAGATGAAATTTCTATTTCATTTTTATTCTAAAAAAAAAACATTTAGTATTAACATCAGTTTCCATGATTACCTTAAAAACATTAAATATAAATAGATGAAACTCAGAGTAATGCTGAGTATAAAGTATAATCCCTGTTGAATATTACAAATGTTTAAGATAACTGGTTCCCACAAGAATTGAGTGTCTGAAAATTAGACACTAGAATTAGAAATTAAAATTTCCTAATTTCTGGTACCCAGTTTTTCCATTGTTCAAAGATTCAGGAATAGTTTAGACTATATAGTCCCACCTCCATTCCTTTGGGCTGATAATACATACGTCTTAGATATCTTGAGCACTAGATGTCGCTGTTGTTCCAGCAAGGCACCACTGCATCTTAGGTAAGGAATTGCACATGTTCTAGTACTTATCTATTGACTAATAGGTTGGGAGAGAGCATGAAAGGGAAGGAGAGGAGGGGGCTGGTGAAGAGAACAAAAGAAATTGACATCAAGCTTGAAAACAGTATGTAACAAATGAACTGGTTTTATGCTTTTAAACAGCTTTTCACTCCTTGTGTTGTCTCTGCACAGGGGTTTCTCATTAAAATCACCTTCAGAGTGTTTAATACAGGTTCCTGGGCCTCTGGAAGTCCTCATTCAGTAAGTAGGTTTGGGACAGGGGAGGGACCCTGTTTTTTAAATGAGCCTTGATGATTCTGATTTGTCTTACATCCACAGAATAGGAGTTAGTCTTCATAATATCTAAAGCTGAATGCTACTAATAGTCATAGGACACTCTGAAAAATTTTATTTTATCCTTAGGGGGAAAGGCAAATAATTTCTGCCTTCAGGGAAGCTACACTTTTTTCTGTTGGATTCTTAAGGATCTTCGTTTTCCCCAACAAGTGTGATATTGGCAATGTTTTTGGTAATAGCAGGTGTTCCGGTCATCCTCAGGATTTTCTTTGGGAAGCAAAGGGAAAAAATTTGCTTCTCTGTATTATTTTGGGCTTGCTTTGCCATCTTCCTCCTAGTCATCTTCATTTTTCTTTAAATAAGCTGGATTTGACTGGGAGAATAAAGAGGGGAGGGCATTTTTTTTTTTCCTTTGGCAGTGCTTCTTAGCATGTGAAATCTTAGTTTCCCAACCAAGGATTGAATCCATCCCCCTGCAGTGGAAACATGGAGTCCTAAACACTGGACTGCAAGAAAAGTCTGGGGAGTTTAAATAAGTAGGCGAAACATTCCATGGCAGAGCTGAAGTGCTCATGAGTTACAGGTGCCTTCCACGTCTTGATTTATCACTTTTGCTATAGCTCTTCTTTTTGCTTAGTTTGATCCTTAACCTGTAACTCACAGTAATCTCAACAAGGTTGGAATTTCTTCAGAAAACAAGAAGGAAGTGGAGAAGAAAGCTGTGAAACCCATAGAAACCAAGAACAAGTTCTCCCAGGCAAAGCTGTTGGCAGGAGCTGTGAAGCATAAGAGGTCAGCCCGCATTCACACGACTTTAATCTCCCTCTGACTGTGTGCCCCAAAATGCCAGAGTAATGGTAGTCAGAACAAAGTTACCTAAGCACAGGTCTTGGTGAAGTTCCTTGGTGGCCCTCCCTCGCTCTCCTATCAGATTTGGTGTCTTCTGATGCCTTTGACCTTTGTGTCTCTCTTCGTTGAACATAATAACCATCTTCAATGGACACTTAAGTACTTTCAGTGCAGGTGATATTTTATTCCTCTATAAAGTACAGAGACTGAGAATCTCAGAGGTTGAGAACCTTTGTCCAAAGTTGGAAAGTAACAGGAGAGGTGGAATTCAACATTTGAGCATCTGTGTTTCTAGGCAAACAAGGTAGCAAGTTCTGTGGAAGGATTTATATAGAATGTAATGAGAGCAGGGAGGAGGAATAACTGCCTGGAGTGGGTATATGTGACTCGTATTGGGGAAGTTAAGGAAGGCATTAGAAAGGAGACTGATTAGGTAGGACTGATTAGGTAGGACTGTGAGGGCTTTAATAGGCAGACAAGGAGGGCGGAACAGCCCAGGCTGGAAGAAGAGCTGGGGCAAAGGCCCTGAGGTCTGTAAGAAGGTGGCAGCTGTGACAGGGTTACACACCTGGCTGGGACGCTGCTTGTTTGATGTGGGGTGGCAGCACTTCTAGAGGTTTTGATTAAGTTCTCTGTTCCTCCACTTTCAAACCCTGAAATGGCACCAAAGTGATTAAATTTGGTCATTTCAATTTCACCAACTCTACTATAAGCAAAATGATACTAAGTTGAAGTGCAGTCTGTTAGGAAAATCAATATGGTATTTTGGCAGCCAGCCACATGTTTTGAAGAAAGTGCATTGATGGAGTTTTGTGGTTTGGAAAACACTGAATGCTGGAACAGTTTCTTGGAAACATTGCTTGCAACATTGTTTACATGTAAAAATGTCATCATGGCATAGCAGCAAAGGGTAGGCACATCAGAGGCCTGAAAAGGGCCAGTTACCCAAGCCATGGATCCTTCCTTTCAACTTTTCATATAAACTTGATTGCCTGGTCCAGTATCTTTGGGGATTTGGACCTGGGTCAGTTGTACTGGGCTGTACCAAGAGGGGGCTCTCTAGGTAGTCAGTCAGTGTCTCTAGTGTCTTGCTTCTAGCAGAATGGGTGTTGTAAGTATCTCTCCTGGTCCTTGTGCTGTGCTGCGCTGAGTCACTCAGCCGTGTCCGGCTCTTTGCGACCCATGGACTGTACCCTTCAGGCTCCTCTGTCCGTGGGGATTTTCCAGGAAGGATGCTGACAGGGCTTTCCATGCCTTCCTCCAGGGGATCTTCCCAACCCAGGATCAAACCCAGGTCTTTACCATCTGAGCCACCAGGGAAGCCCTCCTAGTCCCTATATACTACCTTTTTATTAGATCGTCCTTTTTTGTTTTATGCAGGTAATAAATGAGTCTCCTGGGGCAGGCATTCCTGATCTACCTAGCTTTGGGTTTATTAGAGTCAGCTGGGAGTTAATCCTGTGAATTGCCTCACACTGATTCCGCTCAGTATGGAGTGAGGTCTGGGAGTCTTAATTTTTCAAGTTCATGGATGACTGTAATGCTCAGTGAAAGTCTGATGCCTGATGTGTGTGTGAAGAGAGAGAAGTCGCCCAGTCATATCTGACTCTTTGCAACCCCATTGACTGTAGCCTACCAGGCTTCTCCATCCATGGGATTGTCCAGGCAAGAGTACTGGAGTGGGTTGCCATTTCCTTCTCTAAAGGATCGAACCCAGGTCTCCCGCACTGCAGGCAGACACTTTACCGACTGAGCCGCCAGGGAAGCATGCATGGTAATAAAACAAGAACCCATGAACCCGTCACTCATCTTAAGACCTCGAGCATTAGTGATACCGAGTCTGCCTCTGTGCTCTTCCCCATTTAGTCTCCCTTCCTTGTCGTCATCACACCACTTTCCTAAGTCTAGTTCATCATTCTTTTGTCTTTCTTTACTTAGTAGGGTTTTTTTTGCTTCCTATATAGGTATCCATGAACCATATAATAACTTGCTTGTTTTTGAACTTTATTAAAAATGATTTCATTGTCAGTACACCATCTTCTGTGAATTTGGCTTTTCGCTCAAGTTGTTTCTGTGACTAAAACAGTTTTGTGTATATGTGGCTGTAATTCATTCACTTTCATTGCTGTATAATAGTGCATTATTTGAGATTCAAACTTTGTTCATTCTCCTGTGAATGAATGTTTGAATTATGACACATGGTGCTGATGGGCTAAGGACAAACTTTGTACATATGTGCATGTTTCTCTAGAGTCATGTGTCCAGTATGATAGCCCCTGACTACCTGTGGTTATGTAAATTTAATTAAAATTAAATGAAATTTAAAATGCAGTCCCCTAGCCACAGTAGTCACATTTTAAGTATTAAATTACTCCATGTGGCTTCTTGCTACCCTAGGGGATAGCACAGATACATCAGTAAAGTGATTTATAAAATAGTATCTCCTTATGGTCTTAATTTGCATCCCCCTGTTAGCAAATGTAGTTGACATTTTATTTTATTTATTTATTTATTTATTTGACATTTTATATGTTGGTTTGCCATTCATGTGTCCCATTGTCCTAAAAGATCTGTTGATTTATATTGCCATTTTTTTACTCGGTTATTTGTAATTTTCTTACTGATTCACAGGCTTTTTTTTTTTTTGAAACATTTTTTCCTACAGTTTATAGCTTATCTTTTTAATTTTAAAGTGGTCAAATACATTTAATTTTAAGATGGTCGGTTTTAAAAAACTGATATATAATTGATGTATAACAGTTTCAAATATGCAACATAATGATTTGATAATATATATGTATATATAGTGAAATGATGGCCACGATAAGTCTAGTTGAGATAGTTACACATAGTTTACATCATACATAGTTATACACTTTTTTCTTGTGATGAGAACGTCTAAGATCTACTCTTAGCAGCTTTCAAATATACAATACTATATCATTAACTATAGTCATCATAATGTATATTATGTCCTCAGAATATATTTTTTTGATATAAGGTACATTTTTCTTAGGGATGTCTTGTCTATTTTTGGCCACTTCATTCTTCTATATAAATTTTAGATGTAGTTTTAAGTTCTTTAACAGTCCCTATTGGGATTTTTATTGAAATGTTATTAAATTGCTTGTTAAATTTATGGGGAGATCAGATCTTTATATTTTTGAGCCTTTATTCATGGTTTATATCTACATTTGTTTGTTTGCTTCAGTTAAAGTCATTCACTAAAGTCTTAAGAGTTTTGTTGTTTTTTTTCAAAGATGTTGTACATGTCCTTGATTAGATTTATTCCTAGGTATTTTATATTTTTTTGTTGCTGGTAAATAAAAATGCAGTTGATTTTAGTATATTTTTATCCAGCCACCCAACTTTTATTAACTTTACTAATAATTCTTATCAACTGTAATAATTTATTGGTGGATTCTCTGAAATTTCTTTGTAGAAAGTCACTAAATGATGACAGTTTTTTCCTTATACCTTTTAATTCCTTTTTCTTATTGAGCTGGTTGGGACCACCAGCAAAATACTAGAACAGTTACTGGGCACATCCTTGTTTTATCTCTAAATATTAAACCGAATGCTTATAACTTTTCACTGCTAAGGATGGTATTTATAGTTCTGTTCCTAGTTTAAGAGGGTTTTGTTTTGTTTGTAGCCATGAATTATTAAATCTTGTCAGTTTTTTCCTGCTTTTGAATTGATAAAATTTTCTTTTTTACTGTTACAGTGAAAAAATAAAGATCTTTCTGATGTTGCACTCCTGGTGATAAACCCAATTTGCAGTGATATATTTTCTTCTTTTTTTTTTTTAAACTTTGCTGGATTTGGTTTGCTAATGTTTTGTATAGGTTGTTGCATTTTTTATCAAGATTGAGACTGGCCTGTACTTTTTTCCCCCACTTTATCTGATTTTGATGTGAAAATTAAACCTAACTTCACAGAATGATTTAGGGAGTGTTCTTTCTTTTTCTCTTTTCTAGAGGAGTTTGTATAAGATAATAGTGTTTTTTTGCAAAGGTTTTGTAGAACTCATTAAATCACTTTGGGCCCCTCTTTTTTATTTTGTGATTATAGGACTATCTACCTTTCTCCAAATCTTTTTGAGTCAGTTTTTTTAGTTGTATTTTCTGGGAATTTGTCCATTTTGTCTTTTTTCAAATGCATTAGCTAAATTGTCAGTATTATTTTTCTAACTGCTCTTGTCCCCTTTTCACCCCAAATATTGAAAAGTTGTACTTTTATTCTTATTTTGACTATTTTCTTGAGAAGGTAGTCTCTGTTTTATTAGCCTTTTCAAAGGCCTTTTGGATTTAGTTCTTATTATTTTTGCTCTTTAATGTCTTCTACATTCTTTCTTTGAAATATTCTTTACTTTCTCAAGCTTACACTTTTATTATTTCTGTTACAAACAACTGTCAGATACCAAAGTAATTCATTTTCAGCTCTTCTTTTCAGTTATAGGCATCTAAAGCTATAGTTTTTCCTCACCTTTCATTGTATACAATTTTCTGTTTCCAAGTAAGTATTTTTAAATATCCATTTTGATTTCTTTCTTGATTCATGACTTAGAGACATTTAAAAAAATTTCCAAACATCCTGAGGTAGTTCAGTTCAGTCGCTCAGTCGTGTCCGACTCTTTGCAACCCCATGGACTGCAGCATGCCAGGCTTCCCTATCCATCACCACTGGGATACACTGAGATACATCAAGATACTGAGGTAACTTAACCATATTTCATTGGTTCCAAGATGAACCTTCTTCCCCCCACATTTTAATACCTGTAATCAGTGATGGCCTAGAGTCTCTGAAATATAATCTTTCTTTTGTTATCAATTTCTGCCTTAATTGCATTGTGGTTTATGTGTACCAATTCTTTTGAAATTACTTAGCTTTGCTTTGTGACCTTTTCCTGAGATTAATTTTTGTGAATGTTCCAAGTTAAGGAGAATTTGTGTTATGTGATTTTTCTGGGTTGTATGTAGGTACAGCAAAACAAACTTGTGGATTGTATTGTTCAGATCTTCTGTGTCTTTGTGTGCTTGTTCTCTTAGTCCTTGAGGGGAGTATTTTGAAATCTCCCATTATTGTAATGATTTCTTGATTTTTCTTCAGAGTCTATTGAATATATTTTTAAGCTCTTTAATTAGAAGCATAGATGTTTGGGATTGTTATTTCTTTGTAGTGATTTAAACTTTGTTTCATTATAAACTAACCTTCTTATCCCTTGTAATACTTCTGGTTTTAAAGTCTGTTTTCTTAATATAGGTGCCCCAGCCTTCTTTGGGTTAGTATTAGCTATGCTAACTCTTTTTCCATTCCTTTACTGTAAATCTTTCTAGGTCATAAGTTGTTTGTTTTGCTTCTGTTAAGTTTTTAGTTAATCATAAATAACTGACTTGAAATCATCTGTTAAACTCTCTTTATAGGTAGGCTTGGACTTACTAGGATTTTTTTTGTATAGTTTTTACTGTCTTTTCTAAAAATAATTTTTTGGTCATCCCACGTGACTTGCAGGATCTCAGTTCCCAGACCAGGGATTGAATGTGGACCATGGCAGTGAAAGCCTGGAATCCTAACCGCTAGACCACCAAGGAACTCTGCAGTTTCTACTGTCTAATGTTATTTGTCTTTTACTTGAAAACTCTTTTCGTTATATTCTTTTTATTAAAATTTTGATTATAATTGTAAAATTTTTAATTCTTTTTTTTTCTTTCTGTTAGTTTGGATTTATGTATTCTGTTTCTGTTCTTTTGTGCCTTAAGTTGGCAATTTACCAGGACTACTTAGCAAAACCATAAGGTAAATAGCTGTCTTACTTGCCTGCAAAATTATCCATAGATCTTAGAACTTTTAGCCACAATAACCTTCTTCCTTCCCTACACGCTGTCCAAGACTTTAGTGTGGTCATGTTTAATACCACAAATTAGATGTTGTTTTTTTATAGAGACAATGTTTAGATTTGTATTGGCCAGTTTCTTTGTTCACCATCTCTTCCTTTTGGGATTAAGGCCTTCCTTCTGGGACTATTTTCTTCCTCTTTGAATTGCATTTTTTTTCTCACTGTCCTAAATTGTTTAATAGGTACAAATTTACAAACACTACATATATTAGTAGTAATGCTGGACCTGGAGAACATTGTGCATTTTCTGAGCTGCGTGGTGAGAGAAGTACATTCTTTAGATAATCTTTTAGTGAAGGTATTTTGGGTGACGTTCAGACTCTCTAGCATGTCACTAAAGATATTTCCTTTAGTCTTTAATAACTACATTTTTGTCGTTTATAAACATGTCCAGATATTCTTGAAATCGATCTGTGGTTCTAACCAAGATGAATGATGACAATAAGGAATCTGATGTTTAAGTGATAGTTGAGGATGTAATACTTCACCCCTTGAATTGGTCAGAGGTTTAAATTCTTTACAACAAAAATTTAATTGTTCTCTAAAGCAATTGTCCTTGAATTAAAAAATAGATTTTAAAAAAATAATATAATTGGAAGGAGATTAAGAAGCTGAAATGAAGACTTTTCAGATCATCTCAGCTCCTTGAGGCTACCTAAAACCCATATAAAATGGTTTTTGGAGCTCCTGATTCCCACAGCTTTGATCCCTAAGATTCGATCTAGCTCAAATCACATATTTTGTTTGTTTGTTTGTTACAGTTCAGACAGTGGAAACAGTGTGAAAAGACTGAAATCGGACCCTGACCCAGATGATAAGAATCAAGGTGGGTGGTAGCTTTCATGTCATTCTTTACCCATCATACACATGAACCGTGATAAAAGGCTGGAATGCATTGTATCTGTGAAGGAACGCTTGTATCCCCGAGCAAACCTACCTAAACTTACTAAGCCAGTTTAAACCATGCAGGATTTAAACCTAGGATTGTATCAGCTGCCCACCAAAGTAATATGTTAGAAACCATGGAACTGATAAATGACAGTTGTGTTCTCTCAGGAGTGCTAATAATGCCAAAGCCCTGGTGATACCAACCACTCCTCACAAAGGGTTTTTCTCTTTCTCGCTTAAATGTCAAGTTTCTTCATTTCACCTGGCTGGCTACCAGTGAGAGGTAGAATGCCTGACTCCTTCTGTTGGTTGGATTGGATTGGACCAAGAGGCTAAATAGTTTACAAAGAGTACACTTTCTTTGGTGGTTTCTTTCATGTGATCAAATCTGGTACTGTATTAAGTGGCATCAAGTTATAAGTGAGAGTATCACTCATGACTGAATCAGGGATAAGAAATTCAAGAGTGTTTTCAGTTCTTCTGACTTCCTGTGGAATTGAGACTTTGAGCTGAACTCAAATGGTCATCATTGAAATAGGGCTTACATTTATTTCTCTTTTAAAAAAAGATACTTTAAAATATATTTTTTCTTTCAAAAATTAATGGGTATTTTAAAATGCATATCTACTGAAGTCCAGTAATGGTGGGCTGTTGCTGATACCTTTTTGCTCTAGAATTTACTTGTGAAAAGGATCTTCAGTGAAGAGCTTTCCTTCTCCCTATATGTCCTCTTCCATCCAATTTTCCTTCCCAGAGGGAAGTACATTTTTTACGTATATATCTGGATATATGTGTATATCCAGATTATTCTATGTGTGTATAGACAATTAACAAATATACTCTTTTTTAAAAAAAGTTTTATTATAGCTAACTTAAAACATATTTAGATATTGAGGTAATAGTATGATGAACCCCATCATGTACATTCAGTTTTTAACATGTCCAATTTTCTTTTTTAAAGAAAGTTTTATTTTCTTATTTTTTATTTTGGCTATGCCACATGACTTGTGGGATCTTAGTTTCTCATTTGCTGTGGCTAAGACTTTCAATACTGTGTTGAAGAGAAGTGGTGAGAGTGGGTATCCTTGTCTTGTTCCAGATTTTAGCAGAAAGGCTTTCAGCTTTTACCATTGAATATTACATTGGCTGTGGGTTTGTCATAAAAGCATTTTATTATGTTGAGATATGTTCTTTCTATACTCACTTTTGCAAGGGTTTTCATCATGAATGGATGGTGATTTTTATCAAATACTTTTTCTGCATCTATTGAGATGATCATGTTGATTTTGTCCTCTTTTGTTGGTGTGGTGTATCATGTTGTTTTCAATACACTGAACCACTGTCATGACCCTGGAATGAATTCAACTTGAGTCGTGGTGTATGACCTTTTTTATGTGTTTTTGGATTCTGTTTGCTAGTTTGAGAATTTTTGTGTCTATATTCATCAAAGTTATTGACTTATAACTTTCTTTCTTGGTAGTGTCTTTGTCTTGTTTTGGTATCAGGATGATGGCTTCATAGATGTCTTTGGTAGTAGTCTTTCCTCCTCAGTCTTTTGGAAGAGTTTGAGAAGGATAGGTGTAAGTTTTTCTTTGTATGTTTGTAGAATTCCCCAGTGAAGTTGTATGGTTCTGGACTTTTGTTTGTAGGGAGTTTTTATTATTACAGATTCGGTTTCATTTCTAGTGATTGGTTCAAGTTATCTGTTTCTTCTCGGTTCAGTTTTGGTGGACTGTATATGTTTCTAGAAAGTTGTCCCTTTCTTTGAGGTTGTCAAATTTGTTGGCATATAATTGTTCATAGTATTCTCTTATGGTTTTTTTGTATTTTTGTGGTATCTGTTGTGATTTCTCCTCTTTTATTTTTAATTTGTTTATTTGGGTCTTCTCTATTTTCGTCTAGTTGAGCCTGCCCAGAGGTTTGTCAATTTTGTTTACCCTTTCAAAGAACCAGCTCTTGGTTTTATTGATTTTTTTTCTTCTATTTTTAAATCTCTTTTATTTATTCCCTCTCTGATCTCTATTATCTTCTTCCTTCTGCTGACTTAAGTTTTGTTTGTTCTCGCTCACATTCTTTTAGGTGGTAGGTTAGGCTGTTTGATTTTTCTTGTCTTGAAGGCCTATATTGCTATGAACTTTCTAAGAACTGCTTTTGCTGCATCCCATGGATTTTGTGTGGTTGTGTTTTCATTCTTATTTGCCTCAAGATATTTCTTTAATTTCTTCCTTGATTTCTTTGTTGATCCATTGGTTTTTTAGTCATGTTGTGTAGCCTTCCTGTAATTTTTTTTCTTGTTTCTTTTTCTGTGGTTGGTTTTTAGTTTTATATACCCTTGTGGTCAGAAAAGATGCTTGAAGTAATTTCTATACTCTTAAATTTGTTTAAGCTTTTTTGTGTTTAACCTAGAGAATGTTCTATGTGGGCTTGAAAAGAATGTGTATTCTGCTTTGGAGGGATGTAATGTCCTGAAGATATCAATTAAGTCTAAATGTTCTGTTGTATCATTTAGAATCTCTGTTGCCTTTTCTGTCTCAAAGATCTGTCCATTGATGTTGAGCGGGGTGTTAAAGTCTCCTACTATTACTGTATTCCTATCAATTTCTCCCTTTTTATGTTATTTGTTTTATGTATTTGGGTGCTCCTATATTGGGTGCATACATGTTGACAAGTGTAATATCCTCTCCTTATATTGATCCATTTATCATTCTATAGTGTCCTTTATCTTTGTGTATAGCCTTTGTTTTAAAGTCTATTTTGTCTGATATAAATATTGCTACCCTTGCTTTCTTGTCATTTCACATTTGCATGAAATAATTTTTTCCATTTCTTCACTTTTAATCTGTGAGTGTCCTTTGACCTGAAGTGAGTCTCTTGTAGGCAGCATGCTGTAGGCTTTTGTTTTTTTAATCCAGTCTGCCACTCTGTGTCTTTTGATAGACCCCTTATTCACTGACATTCAATTATTGATAGATATGTATTCATTGCCATTTTAAACTTTGTTTTCCTGTTGATTTTATTTCTTCTTCATCTTTTTTGTTTTTTCTTTTGTCCATTATGCTTATGTTCTCTTCTTTTTGGATTTTGTGAATCTGTTTGTAGGTTTTTGATTTGTGGTTACCCTGTTTTTCAAGTATGTTAACCCCTTCCTTTATCTACTTTAGACTGGTAGTCATGTAGGCTCAAACACATTGTAAAAAAAAAAAACCCATGTTTTCTTACTTTCCTCTTCCACATTTTATGATTTTGATGTCCTCTTTTGCATCTTCATGGTCATCCTTTTGCTGCTTATTGTGGTTATCATTGCTTTCAGAGAAAGTTTTAAATTTTTTAAAATCTGTATAATGTCTTACTTAAGTGATTTATTTCCCATTGTGATTTTCTCCTCCCTGTAGATCCTTAGTACTTTTCTATTTAGAGCTGACCTTTCAATATTTCTTTTTTTAAGATAGGTTTAGTATTGTTGTATTCTTTTACTTTTTGCTTATCTGAGAAATTCTTCTCTCCCTCTGTTCTGAATGATAATCTTGCTGGGTTGAATATCCTAGGTTGCAGATATTTCCTTTTCAGGAGTTTGAATATATCTTGCCATTCTCTTCTGGCCTGCATTGTTTGTGTAGAGAAATTAGCTGATAGCCTTATAGGTGTTCCCTTGTAATTAATTTTATTTTCCTCTTGCTGCCTTTAGAATCCTCTTTTTACCTTCAACTTATGCTATTTTTTATTATACTACGTCTTGATGTAGGTCTGTTTAGGTTTATTTTGTTTGGGACCCTCTGTGCTTCCTGTATCTGGATATCTTTTTTTTTTTTTCTTCTGGTTTGGGAAGTTTTCAGCCATAATTTCTTCAAGTACATTTTTAATCTACTTTTCTTTTTCTTCTCCTTGTGGGATCCCTATTATGCCTTGATTGGCATTATCCCATAGGTCTCTTAAATTGCTTTCTTTTTTTTTTAATTTGCAGTTCTAATTGAGTGATTTCCATTATTTTTTCTTCTAAATCACATTCATTTTTCTGCATTATTCATTCTGCTTTTCATAGCCTTTAGTTCAGCTTTTATCTCATCAAATGAATTCTCTAATTTTTCTTGGCTCCTCCTTGTAGTTTCTAATTCCTTTTTATAGTAATCTATATTTTTGTTGATATTCTTAATTCCTTCAATGTTTTCATTATCTCCTTTTTGAATTTGGTGTCTATCAGATTGAAGAGGTCTGTTTCATTGTTTGTTCTTTTAGGGAGAATTCTCTTGATCTTTAATTGGGAGTGATTCCTCTGCTTCCTCATTTTACTTACATTTCTCTTGCTCTATGAGTTTAGGAGAAGCAATTATCTACTGTAGTCTTGGAGGCCTATTTTTATATGGGAATGACCCTTTGTAGCCTGCATGGGTTTAATTTTTTTTGATGTGAGAACTGTTTTTATAGTATGGATGCCCGCCACCTCTTTTCCTTATTGTGTGCTGGCCGTTGTCCCCTTGAGAGGAGGTGTGGTTGATATTGTGGTGATTGGAGCCTGCACTGGATATTGAGCGTGGCCTCCCTTTTGCTCTCTGGCTGTCACTGCCCTGTCTGGGGCAGGATCTGCTCCCTAGTTGTTGGAGTAGAAGCCCCCAGCTCTATTTCTGAGCTGCATTTCTTTTTAAAAATCTATTTATTTATCTTATTTTTGGCTGTGTCGGGTCTTTATTGCTGTGAATGGGCTTTCTCTAATTGTGGTGAGATGGGGCTACTCTCTAGTTGTGGTACGCGGGCTGCTCATTGCAGTGGCTTCTCTTGTTGTGGAGCACAAGCTCTAAGACGCGTGAGCATCAGTCTTTGCAGCTCTCGGGCTCAGTAGATGTGGCATGTGGGCTTAGTTGCCCTGTGGTATGTGGGATCTTCCCAAACCAGAGATCAAACCCTTGTCCTTGGTATTGTTGGGTGGATCAGGGAAAGCCCACT